TGTAGTCAGGATAATCCCACAGGTATTCTAGAGGCCCATCTCCTGGGTGATTTCCATATACTCTCGGGCTGGCTGCACTAGCCAGAATAGATGGTGTCTGTCACCAAGTTCCAATCTCATTGTAGTGGTTGCATAAACAAGCAGAGGCACGGAGAGCCATGAGCACTGATCTTCCTGAATTCTTTGACTTAAAAGAAGAAGAGAAGAATTCAGACTGGTTGAAAGACAAAGGAAAGTGAGTTGTCTGAGTGTCCTGCACCCTATACTGGGATCATCATATTTCAGGAATAGATGGACCTCGTGTTTATGTGTGTGCATGCTGTTGGGGGAGCTAGGTCATGTGCTTGCTTGTCCTTTTATGTCTACTTGACACAAGCTTGAGTCATTTGGGGAGAGGGAACATCAATTGAAAAAATGCCCCCACCAAGGTTTGCTTGGCCTACACAACAAGCTTAAGGCCAGTGTGGGCAAGTTAGTGAGACCCTGTCTCAAAATAAGGAAGGAACTGCTGCAATCCCACTACTTGAGAGGGAGAAAGGAGACCTGGGGGTTAAGGCTTTGTTTGGCTACATAGCAAGTTCCCCAGACTGTGCCATGTGAGCCCCATGTCAAAACAAACAATAAGTGACATAATTTTAAAAAGGGAAAGGGCAGGGGATAGAGTTCAGTGTTATAGCACTGAGACCCTTGATTCAAACTCCAATACTACAACAAAAGGCCTATAATCCCAGAAGCTTGGAAGCAGAAGCAGCTTGGTCTATATAAGGAGTCACACACCAGCAGGGACAACATACAGACTGTCTTTGTCTCATAGAGTATTCCAGGAAAAAAAAATAGGAGCCCATGGAATATACAATTAGACACAATGACATTTTAGTCAACAATAGAATGTACATTGACCCTCAAAGAGTCTATCACCTAGTGATAGCATAGTCATCTTAGTGTGCATATACACACCCCAGCTTTCAAAAACATGTCACCTAGTGTCACCTTGCTGAGACCAAGCAGCACATGCTGGACAGATGGTTAAAAAGAGATGTACTGTGAGCAACTGGAATTATGATGCATGCTTCTAGTCCCAGCTCTGAGGAGGCAGAGAAAGGTGGATCTCTGGGGCTCATTGGCCAGTCATCCCAGCCTGGTCAGGTGCCCCAGATCCCAGTGAGAGACCCTGTCGGAAAAGCATGGTGAGACTGGGTGTGTAGCGCATGCCTTTAATTTGAGGCCAAACAAACAAACAAACAAACACCAACCACCAAAAAAGGCAACTGGCTCCCAGGGAACAAAAGCAAGCAGCATATACTTCATGCATGCTCCCTTTGCTAGTCTAGCCCCTCGGAGCCAGTGCATAGGCAGGCCAGGGGAGTGTGATACTCATTCACAGTAGCTCTCCACCAGAGCTGAGGAAGGACAGGCTTAAGAATAAAAATTTTGTGTAAAAGGTTTCAGTAAGCATGCAAACTCTCCCCACACAAAGGAATTATCATGTTTGTTGTGGGGAAAATTTAAGAAGGCCGCCACAGTGGCGCAAGCCCCAGAGGGGCTTCTGCCGCCGTGGCGGGTCCCACATTAGAGAAGAAGTCCTATGATTCCAGTGGCCTGAGGGCCATTGGCGGTGACAGGCCCCAATAACACGAGGAAGTCCTTGGTTCCAAAAAGGTTTATTGTCATGGCAGATAATAGATGGATCTAGGTGTACCCCCCAAAAACTCAGGGCAGTCCCGAGTTATATAGGGAGGGAGAAAGGGGGAGGATTGGGGGAGGATCTGGGAGAGGCATGTTTAATTTGCTCTGCCCTCTGGCCTTCATTAGTATGTAAATCCCTAGGGCCTGAGGCCTATAGCCTGGCCTATGTGACTCTATGGAGATCTATGTGACTGCTTTTCAGGATCTTGGATGATGGGAGGGACCAAACTCCTGCCGGTTCTCACGCAGAATTCCACGGAGAATCTCGGGGTTCTAGGTACATGCTCAACCATGACCCAGGATACCCTTATGCAGTCCCACAGTTTGTTATTTGTATAAATGTGTCCGCTGCTTCCTAAGAGACACTCTCTGCCAACGCTGACTTCTACACAGTGTCTTGTAAATGAAAGTGCCAGCTAGGAGTGTTGCTTGGGGTAGAGAACATTCCCTCCACATGTGACACATGAGGTCCCAGCGTCAACCTGCAGATCCCATCCCGGCCCCTGCCCCCTGCCAAACAAGGTTGACACAGGAGATCCATGAAGAGCTGTCTCCTTATTTGTTGAGCCAGGGTCTCTTGTAGCCCAGTCCAACATTGCCTAAGCCTTCAATGTGCTGAGATTGTAGGCATGAGCTACCACTCATACTTGGAGAATTGCCTTTTAACCCATGTACCTAAATGCTTTCTGAAAAGGGCCAGGAAGCCTACCTTTGCTACTGCATTTTAATAAACTGGTTTATAAAGACAGGCCAATCTCCTCACCTGCTTATCCTGATAGAAGCTCATTAGACTTGCCATTACAAGATGGCTTCTCAGATGCAGGTAATTGTCTTCTATTGGTTGTGTTTTACAGCTTATCCTATTCTGTCTGTTGCAGTACATGGTGTTTAGAGTGTGTTAACAAAATGCAGAGGAGGGAAAATTCAATCCTCCCCTTTTAGGATCTTTTCCCGAAGGGAGAAATCAGTTGAGTACACTGCAAGAGAGCACCAAGCTCTGTGTTTGTTTTTTTGTTTTTATGTTTTTTATTTTGTTTTGTTTTGATTTTTTGTTTGTTTGTTTGTTTCACTTTGTAGCCCTGGCTGGCCTGAAACTCCCTATGTAGGCTAGGCTTGTCTTGAACTCATAATGATTCTCCTGCCTTGGCCTCCCAAGTGCTAGAATTCCTACCATACGTTTTTATACCTGTGAGGATTTGTTTTACTAGTTTTTAAATTGGTTTTTTGTTTTGTTTTTGAGACAGGGTTATGTGTAGCCCTAGTTGTCCTGGAGCTATCTCTGTAGACCATCCTGTCCTCTGTCCTCTGCCCTCTGCCCTCTGCCCTCTGCCCTCTGCCCTCTGCCCTCTGCCC